AGAATCATCATATCAACATATATGAGTTCCTCTCTACTCCACTCAGAAGGACTTGAACGTGGTCATTTCTCACACATTTTCCTTGATGAAGCTGGCCAAGCTTCAGAACCAGAAACCATGGTTCCTATATCCAACCTGTGTCAACAGGACACAGTAGTTGTACTTGCTGGAGATCCAATGCAACTTGGTCCAGTCGTATATTCAAGAGATGCAGAGAATTCTGGATTGGGAAAATCATACCTTCAAAGGCTGTTTGAAAGTGAATTCTATGAGAGCGAAGATGAAGCTTTTATAACAAAATTAGTGAGAAATTACCGCTGTCACCCAGCAATTCTAGACCTTCCTTCGAGGCTTTTTTATGGAGGGGATTTGATTGCATGTAAAGAAGATAACTCTTTCTCCATAGTTTCAAAGGTAGATTTCTTCCCAAACAAACAGTTTCCTGTTCTGTTTGTTGGCATTCAAGGCTGTGATGAAAGGGAGGGAAATTATCCATCATGGTTTAACCGATTTGAGGCAAGCAAGGTTGTTGATATCATCAATAAATTGAGATCAAGTGCTGATCTAAATGAGGCAAATATTGGTGTAATAATACCTTACCGCCAGCAGGTGCTCAAGATAAAGAAAGTTCTTGAAACCTGGGACTCGCCGGATGTCAAAGTTGGCAGTGTCGAACAATTTCAGGGACAATAGAGGGAGGTTATTATTGTATCTACAGTGAGATCAACTGTCAAACACAAGGAGTTTGATAGAACTTACTGTCTCGGATTCCTCAACAATCCAAAGAGATTCAACGTTGCAATTACTCGGGCCAGATCCTTGCTCATAATTGTTGGAAATCCTCACATTGTCAGTAAGGTACTTCCATATCTGTTCCAAGTTCTGAAGTTTGAGGCATGCACTTGACCTTAGCTTATGTATTCTTGTCTTGTTAATGTTAATAGTATTTGTTGTCTTTGGCAGGATCCTTACTGGGAGAAGCTGTTGTGGCATTGTTCTGACAATAACTCCTATCAAGGTTGCCCACTTCCTGAAAGACAGTATAATGCAGCTGAACCCAGAGCTGAGGTAAATTGTGGACCTGAGGATTCGTACTGCTCCAATGCAGGGAATTGGGATCATTCGTCCTCTCAAGAAAAACCTGTCACTGATGAAGCTGAGTGGGCAGATGGATGGCAGTCCTGATAATATAATATTTCCATTAACAATAGAAACCTTTAAATCTGGTATGCAGAGATAAAATTAAAATCTAACACCATGGAATTTTCTTTGTAGTTTCATAAATTTTCCGACATTAGAAATTGTCTAGGAAACTGTTGGTTTATAAATTATGGGTTATTAACGGACTGGATATCCGTCTTAGCTCGAGAAATGCCATCTCTGTTTTCAATCTGGTAAGAATTATAAAGTTATGGGTATATATGTATTGAAGAAGCAAGAAGTTATACATGGAGCATGAGATTGTAGGAAGTTTCCTAAATTATTTCCTCTATTGTTAGCTGTTTCGCAATTGCTAAACTTGATTTTAAATCAAGATTTTATAATTCGCAAATATCAACTTAGCGAATATCTCCTAAGTTTGATTTCAAATCAAGGTTCTATAACCTCTCTTTGTTGAGGCCGGAGTTTCTTGTATGAACATGAAGAGCATCTTTGACTTAATATATAACCTCCACTAACTCCATCAAGAATATAATATTCTAACCAGTCAAGGAACTCATCTTAGTATATGGGCTGTATCAACATTGCCAAGGTCAAGGCCAAAAAGAAATAAGCATTGCTCTGGTCGAAGTCATTTTTGGGTTCTAATGTCATCGACTTTTCGAGCATCACCCTCCGACCGTTCAGGTTATCGGACGTTGACGATTTCTTGTCATGGGCAGGTGATGAACAGGTGACAAGGAACCTCAGATGGAACACCTTCACCTCCAAGGAAGAAGCACTGGCCTACATCAAGGATGTCTGCATCCCCCACCCTTGGCGCCGATCCATATGCATTGACGACCATTTCATCGGGTTTGTGTCAATCTTCCCGGCATCCGGTAACGACAGGTGTAGAGCTGATATAGGGTATGGCTTGGCTGTGAATTACTGGGGACATGGGATTGCCACAGAAGCAGTGAAAATTGCAGTGTCTCAGGTTTTTGTGGACCTCCTTGAAGTGTTGAGGCTTCAAGCTTATGTAAACGTGGAAATGAGGCATCTCAAAAGGTTTTAGAGAAAGTCGGGTTTCAAAAGGAAGGGCTCTTGAGGAAATATTCTTGTTTAAAGGGAAAATTGCAAGATTTGTTGGTTTATAGTTTCCTATCAACAGATTCCCCAGCTGAATAGGTTTTTGTTGGGTTACTTTTTTTTTTAAAAAAAAATTATATCTAAAAGTTAATTACTTGATATTATAAAAGTTTTTAAACATTTTACTTTGATCTAAAATCAAAATTTTTAAATTAATATATATCAATTCAATTAAGTTTTTATTGGCACTGATTTACCTACATTTTTATGGTACTTTCTGTTATTGTTGGGGTAAGTGATTTGAGATCTTCTTTGATAAAAGAGAGGCATTTCTCTTCTTTTTGTGTTTTGAGTTATCCAACACAAAGTAATCTTTCCAATGATCTAATTTCTTGAAATTTTCATCTCGAATATTTGAAATGAGGGAATTTGGGGTTATTGGGGAAAGGGGGATGATATACACACTAGGAAAGGAAATTGAACCACTGTGGCGTGATCATAGATGATATTAATGCAAATTAGGTTACTTTTAAACTAAATCCTAGAAAAATATGGACATGTCAAATTTATATTAAACTTCTTTTGATTGCACATTTAATAATAGGTCATATAACAATGAATAATCCTTCCATTTTCCCAATTTCAAACTTAAAATAACTCTTACCACCATCGAAGGCCAAATTGAGGTTAAATTGTGACAAATCAATGCATTCACAATGTTAAATCAACCACAAAACTAGTCAGCTCAGATTATTCTGCCTTTTCGAAAACTGGTAGCAGAGATGGATTTAGAAATCTTTTACAAGGCAGGTGAGGTGAATGAAGGGATAAAGAGAGAATTGTCTTTCATCGTATAATCTAAAAAACAAAAAAAAAATTGCGCACACAAAAAACATCCCCCAGAACACATGGTTCACTATTTTTTCCTTTTATCGACATAGAGTATTAGGAGGATATACACACTGTTTTGTTTTTCTGGACAGAATATGGACATCCAATCCAACCGTACAGGACTGCTGCCAGTGTTTTTATGGAGCAGTCACAATACACACAATTGAGTAACCCAAGCCAAGATATTGCCCACAGGCTACAGGCTTTTCTCCTCAGCTTCATTTTTTCTTTTTTTCATTTTTTTCTAAATTCAATACATTTGTTTCCTGAAGGAATAGAATCAGCGATTCCTTATACACAATCGAGGAAAATCGGGGATTTCAAGGTGTGGTATTTACTTACCAAAATCTAGTGCTCCATAGGTGAGCTTGGTTGGTCCTGATGAGAAGAGATAACAAGCCACTGCAAGGATTTTAATGCTACC